TAAAATGATTATATTTTGAATACAGTAAGTTTATGACATACATTTATTTGGGATTACACTTTCCTAGTCAAGTACAAATTCTAGTACTTCTGAGGTTGAGTCCTAACGGGGATTTGAACTCTCAGAGTTAGGCAAACTAATCACCTGCACACAAAGACATTGTGTATTCACGGGTAAGCTTGATTGATTGTTGTTTGTTTGTTGTTTAACGCCGAACTCAGCAATATTCCAGCTATATGACGGCGGTCTGTAAATAATCGAGTCTGGACCAGACAAGCAATTGATTGACATCATGAGTGTCAGTCCACGCAATTGGGATACGATGACATACATCAACGAAGTCATCTAGCCTGACCTGCCGATCCTGTTGGTGTTTACATTTCATAACTTTTGAGATTCAATCGAGCATACTCTTCTACCAAGATTTCAAAGAGTTTTAAACGACTCCTTCTCAGAAGTTGTTCGATCAAGGTAACATCATTCACGGCCTCAGTAAAACGTTTTATGGTAGACATGTGGAGGACATTTCCAAATTTGAGGCATCAGTCACAAATCTATGTCCGATTCCCCTGTTTTGACATGTACCATTTTTTCAGGTTTTTTTCAGTCGAACAATTGACGTGCCTTTGCATGTGTTTGTGACGGATGGCACCCATCCTTTCGCAAACACCTAGTATGGTCACTATTTGATGGTGATTCATAAATACAGGCTTCATGGTATAGTCGGAATCGTACAATCGACTCAGCGAGCCTGACCACCCGATCCTGTTAGTCAGTCAGGCTTTTGCTTGATTGCTACACAATTTGAAACGTAATTGAGGTTATCGCTAATTACAAACACCACGACGTCAAAACAACAGTGGATGTGGCTGGGAAAACACGTACCAGTCAATATGTGTTAAGACTGACCATGTACCTCTATGCATTAAGTCTGTTGGCAAAAGCTAGGGAAAGGAAACGAGGAACGTGGATAAGCTTTACAAGCAGAGGACAAGGATTGTTTGTTTGTTGTTTAAGGCCGCACTCCGTAATGTTCCAGCTATATGACGGCGGTCTAAATATTCGAGTCTGGACCAGATAATCCAGTGATTGGCGTCATGAGCATCGATCCACGAAATTGGAATCGATGACATGCATCAACCAAGTCAGTAAGCCTGACCACCCGATCCCGTTAGTCGCTTTTACGGCAAGTTTGGGTTGCTGAAGATCTATTCTATCCCGGAATCTTCACGGGTCGGAGAAACATCTGACTGTAGGGGGACTGAAGAATGCAATTGTGAGTGACTCAGGGACTGAGTGCGGTTTTAAGGCTGCTTTAACAACATAACGGGTCACTGATTTATTTGGGAGGCAAACCAAACAAAAATAAGTGGATATTGTGGGGGGAGACGACGTCGAACAAATGTCAGCGTAGCCAATTTAGAAGCCTAAACCACCCATTGTCAAAGACCGATACATTCTTTCAATGTTTAAATCTGTCTGTGAGTTCCCTAAATTTCAGGGAATTGTATACAAAATATATTTGACAGCCTACCTGAAATTCCAGCCACCGCACATGATACAAGAAGGAAGAGTCCCAACATCATTCTGTCTGATTCTGAAACAAAAATATTAACTAAATGCAGAAACTCATGAATTTGATCCATTGAATCAGTGAACAGCTTGACTGTGAAGTTAATGTTATCTTCAATACCAACTGTCTTTTGGGGGCAAAGTGATCCAGCCTTCTAAACCGCTGAAATCCGCCATGCCGATTTGCGTCCCTTAGGCAAACCATCATCTTATGATCAGTCACTGGATTGTCTGGTCCAGACTCGATTATTTACAGACCGCCGTCATATAGCTGGAATATTGCTGAGTGCGGCGTAAAACAACAAACAAACAAACAAACAAACAACCATCATCTTATTATCGCGGGCTCCATGTATCGTTGTGGCAAGAACTTTGTCTTAATTGGATCGGGTGGTTCCCTAATGTGGTTGATACATGTCATCGTATCCCAGTTGCGTAGACCGATGCTCATGATGTCAATCACTGGATCGTATGGACCAGACCAGATTAAATACTTTGTTGTTAACGCCGCATTGAGCAATATTCTAACTATATGACGGTGGTCTGTAAAAAAAAATCCAGTGATTGACATCATAAGGATCGATTCACGCAATTCGGATCATGATATTCATCAACCAAGTCCGCGAGCCTGACCACCCGATCCCATTAGTCGCCTCTTACGACAAGCATAGTCACCTTTTACGGCAAGCATGGGTTGCTGAAGACCTATTCTACCCTGGAATCTTCACGGGTATCACACACAAACTGAAATTGTCATCAACATCATTATGAAAGTATGAATACTTTACCAACAACTTGGAGCAAACACGTGGCCACCAGCAATGTCTGATCTGTGACGAGTGTAGAGACGTGTGTCTTATATGGGATTAGTTAACGGTATCTGCAGTGCTGTTAGATCTGTATTTGCATTCCCAATCTTGTAGAGGTTTGTATTTCAGCATCTGCTACCTAATTCATGTGCCTGCGTCATGTATTATTCAAAGTGCATTTGAATATTGAAAGGTCGTTTATCACTTGTAAAACAAAACGAAATGATCACTTTAGTTTAATTAAGATAAAAATGGATCTCTGACAACGGCATCATTGTGAGTACGATTTACATCCCATCAGTGTTGCAGGATTTGGTTTTGAGACTATATGTTTTGATTCTGCTCTTCAGACCCGTGAAGATTCCGGGGAAGAATGGGTCTTAGCAACCCATGCTTGTCGTAAAAGGCGACTAATCGGGTGGGATCGGGTGGTCAGGCTCGCTGACTTGGTTGATGCATGTCATCAATCCCAATTGCGTGGATCGATACTCATGAGGGTGACTCTGCTTGTCGTAAAAGGTGACTAACAGGATCGGGTGGTCAGGCTCGCTGACTTGGTTGATGCATGTCATCGATCCCAGTTGTGTGGACCAATGCTCATGATATTAATAACTGGATTGTCTGGTCCAGACTCGATTATTTACAGACCGTCGTCATATAGCTGGAATATTGCTGAGTGCGGCGTTAAACAACAAATCAAACCAAAACCATTCTGCTCTTCAATACATACAATGGTTTTCTGGACAGGTGAAGTGGGGTAAAAGGGGGTTAACTTCCCGTTCAAGAACAATTCACTCATACAGCGACGTCAGTGCACATGCGGGGTTTTTTTTAATAGTCAGGGCTACTAACAATCTTGTATTACTGGCTAAGATACCGTGACGCAGTCGAGCATGGATGCCCTACGTAGACACGGAGCCCTATGTAGACACACTATACTGGACCCATGAAGATTCCGGGGTAGAATAGATCTTCAGCAACCTATGCTTGCCGTTAAAGGTGACTATGCTTGTCGTAAAAGGTGACTTACGGGATCGGATGGTCAGGCTCGCTGACCTGGTTAATGCATGTCATTGATCCCAATTGCGTGGATCGATACTCATAAGGGTGACTCTGCTTGTCGTATAAGGTGACTAACAGGATCGGGTGGTCAGGCTCGCTGACTTGGTTGATGCATGTCATCGATCCCAATTGCGTGGATCGATGCTCATGATATTAATCACTGGATTGTCTGGTCCAGACTCGATTATTTATACAGACCGCCGTCAAATAGCTGGAATATTGCTGAGTGGGGCGTTAAACAACACACAAACAAACAAACAAACGATACTCATATCAATCACTGGATTGTCTGTTCCAGACTCGATTATTTACAGACCGCCGTCATATAGCTGGAATATTGCGGCGTTAAACAACAAACCAACAAACCAACCAACCAACCAACCAATTGCGTGGATCGATGCTCATGATTTTAATCACTGGATTGTTTGGTCCAGACTCAATTATTTACATTGTATTTGTTTTGTGGATTCATGGAGGGGCTTCCACAGGAGAAATGTCACGCGAACGTGAGGAAGACTTTGTAGTACTCCTATCGGTATCATGTGGAGATGGAGTTACCTCCATGTCCAGAGGACCAAAGGAGTTATGGACCTCTACTGGGACCTCTGAAGGAGAGGTGGCCTTTGTTGTTTGCAGCTGTTCTCTCAATAATTTCTTTTCCCTGTTTGTAAGTTTTACTGGTTCTGGTTCAGGTGTTATTTTAGGAGTCTGAGACTCAACTTTTTCTACGCATTTTGGTTTTAGGGGTGTTACAGATGAAGGTGGCACAGCTGGGTTTTCGATTGAAGCAGTTGGAAGTGGCTGAACAGACTTGACCCATGTCAGATCAGTAGACTAGGAGATGGTGGAAGTGCTTGTAGTTAGCCCTTCAACCCTTTTCTTGGCTTCGTGGTACGATACATTTTGTTCGGTCTTGATTCTCATGATTTGGGACTCACGTTTCCACTCAGGGCAGGATTTTGAAGGAGCCATATGGTTGCCACCGCAGTTTGAACACTTCACATCCTTCCTGCAGTCAGTGGCCTCGTGCTTGTCACCGCAGCGGAGGCATGGCAGGACTTGGATCCATGTCCACACGCTTGGCAGGTGTAGCACCGGAGTGGATTGGGGATATACACCTCCACTCCGAGGTTACAATAACCAGCTTTGATAGATTGAGGGATAGAAGTTCGGGCGAAAGTGAAGAGATAGGGGTTGGTTGGTTGGAAAATAAATCATCTTGACCTGTGACCGACTGTTGTTCAAGTTCCTTGGCTATATCGTCTTCGGACATGCCGGACACGCAGCGAGCTCTGTCACGGACAATGCCCTGACACGAGTTCAGTTTCACACATCTACATTCATTATAATAACTTAAGTCCCTACCACCTTTCAATGTCAGTATCCATATATTGATACATAATATCTTCCTAACTCAGTTAATTTTCAAATTCACTTTGAATATATAGATGATAAATGTCTAAATTCATACATTGATCCTCAGCCTATACATTAGCGTGATTACATTATGTAAATATAAAACGTCAAAGCCAGAGAATAGTCAGTCTCTATTATCTGTGGAAACAGGCTGCAATGGAACTCCATACATTCATTACAAATACCATTAACGCTTCCCATATAAAGAGACACAGTTCAGCATTCGTCACTGGGAAGACACTGCAGGCAGTCACGTTTGTACACCCAAGTATTGGTAAAGTATAAGTATTATATTTATAATTCTATAGTTTTATTAAAATGTTTATGATAGGCAAAATTGTACCTATTATCCTTATAAGGACGGTTTCAATGTGACTGAGTGTTGGGGTGAGTGAGTGAGTTAACATTTAACATCGCATCGGCATTATGTTAGGCAAATAGCGACGAGAACAAGTTGATATATACAATTTAGTCATGAATACAAGGTTATATTTGAAAGAATCAGAGTTGGAATTTTGCGTGCGGTTTGCAGATGAAAAAAAAAATTCTTTACATGTAATTAGTCGTGAGATGTTATTATGTTCATCAGGAACTATACTGAAACACTTTGAAAACGCATATTCAAACTTTGTGGTATTTGACAAAATGGCCACAAAGATCGAAGTTGTTCTGTGTATTTAGTCATGCTGGCATTTTGTCACATAGTCATCATTGTTTGTCATGCACGGAAATATCTACGGATAGATCCTTTTCTTGGCCTTCGAGTTAGCGTTGGTGAAATGTTGTCATTGTGTGTTAGCATATGTTTGTTGACGGAAGTTGAAACTTGCACTTATTCTTTTGTCCTTTACCTCTATTGATTTAAACAAAACATATAAAGGAATTATGTTTCATGTTCATGTTCTTGCCCAAAATTAAAAAAGGCGCAACCGATTTCTTATTAGTTACTTTCATCAGATGTACATGTGATTGCATGCTTGCCGTAAAAGGCGACTGTGCTTGTCGTAAGAGGCGACTATGCTTGTCGTAAGAGGCGACCAACGGGATCGGGTGGTCAGGCTCGCTGACTTGGTCGATGCATGGCATCGATCCCAATTGCGTGGACCCGTGAAGATCCGGGGTAGAATAGGTCTTCAGCAACCCATGCTTGCCGTAAGAGGTGACCAATGGGATCGGGTGGTCAGACTTGCTGACTTGGTTGAAGCATGTCATCGATCCCAATTGCGTGGATCGATGCTAATGATATCATTCACTGGATTGTCTGGTCCAGACTCGATTATTTACAGACCGCCGTCATATAGCTGGAATATATATAGCTATATGACGGCGGTCTGTAAATAATCGAGTCTGGACCAGACAATCCAGTGAATGATATCATGAGCATCGATCCACGCAATTGGGATCGATGACATGCATCAACCAAGTCAGCGAGCCAGACCACCCGATCCCGTTAGTCACCTTTTACGACAAGCATAGTCACCTTTTACAGCAAGCATTTACTGTATATTGAACGGAAAGTGTTCGCTTTTTCAAATTGTCAAATTCAAACACCTTTCTGCAGTAAGTCATTTTTCTATTTCAGAATTCTCCAGTTACAGAGATGTTGAGACTCATCATTTTGGCATCATGTGCAGTGGCTGCAATTTCAGGTTGGCTTTCAAATATATTTTGCATTAAATATCATTGCCTCAATATTGGTTATTACATTTCAAGTCTTATTAAATGATGTGATAAACAGGACATGCCAGAGAATAGAAATGGTATATGTATAGAAGATGATATTTTTATAGAATATGGCATGAATACGCTTTCCTACATGAATCATGTTGACGAATCATCTGTTGATTAGTACATGGTGGTTAGATCCCGGATAATTATTACATTAGGCCCCGGATAATTATTACATTAGGCCCCGAATTGTTATCACGTTAGGCCCCGGGTAGTTATTACATTAGGCCCCGAAGTGTTATTACGTTAGGCCCCGAATTACTATAACATTAGAACAACTGTTTCATTGTTTAAGCCGGGGCTTATCTTATTTCTATTATTCTACTCCCCAGCTGCCTGCTCCGAGGGCTACAGAGAGGAAGTGGCCACGAGGTGCTACAGGGCCAAACAAAACACTTTTGGAGACTATGTACTGTATGGTATGGTCGGTTTATTGTTTCTTTGTATTTTGTGGTTGTTTAACGCCCCATTCAGCAATATTCCAGCTATATGAGGGTGGTCTGTAAATAGTCGAGTTTGGACCAGACAATCTAGTGATTGACATGAGCACCGATCGGGTAGGTTTCTGGGCAAGGTCAAGCCAACAGATTGAAACAGTATCCGTCATTTACGGATAAATATTCAAATATTAAAGGCCTGGTAGGTTCTACTTTCAGTGTGAATCGGCGATCGACACAGAATTGATGATCAGGAATGTGGACAACTTATCAGGATAATTATTTTCATTATCAAAAAAGCCTTTCACAAGTGGATGCAACTTTGGAGATGTAAATTGAGATGGAATGTAGCGAGGAGTGTTGGGATATCAGTTTCCACACATGTTTGCTTGTTTGTTTGTTTGTTTGATTTATTGTTTAACGCCGCACTCAGCAATTTTACAGTTATAAGACGGCGGTCTGTGGATAATCGAGTTTGGACCAGACAATCCAGTAACTGATATCACGAGCATCGATCCATGCATACGATGACATGCATCAACGAAATCAGCGAGCCTGACCATCCGATCCCGTGAGTCGCCTTTTAAGACAAGCATAGTCGCCTCTTACGGCAAGCATGGGTTGCTGAAGACCTAATATACCCCGGATCTTCACGGGTCTCCCATACCTGTGTTTGTTGACCTCGGCATCCTGGGTCAATGTCTTGAATTTAATTTGGCGGAAATATATCCGAACTTTTACGTGTTTCATTTTGTCGCTGTTGGATATCTGACTGCTCACAGTGACAAAGTTAAAACAATTTTTGCCTATACAGTACTTATTCTACTGTCTATAAGACAAGTTTCGATTGGTCACAAAAGTTGTGATGTAATATATTAATGCGCACATTCCGGAAACGTGCAGTGTTTGATACCGTTTGTGAGCGATGAAAATATTTATTTGATGATAGAATTTAACTATGACATTATTTGGTGCAGAGGTCATCATTCCAGGGCTGTTTATATAAACAGACCCGAGAAGAGCCAAGGTAGAATTAGGAGATAAACATACTGTGTTTTCAACGTAGAGCTAGGTTACCTGTAGATTTAACCCCGCAAAATTGAATTTGGAACCGAAATAAAATGCGAACTCTTTGGTGTTAGCAAATATACTGACTGAAGCAGCATGGGTTGAGTTCAGTGTTTTGAGTGGGTTATCGTTCTGAATGAAGGAATATGATGCCTTATATACTCACGCAGTTTGTATACACCGTAATACTTCACTCGAACATATGACAGGCATTGAAAGCATACAAGCACGGCAACTTGGTAAGTTAACATGAGATGGGCATCCCTAAAGAAAACAAAGCCATCTTTGCAAGGCTTTTGCTCTACATCGCACGTCACCATTATGACGTCATATCGCTCATTGTGACGCAAAATATATGACGTCACAGTCGTATATAGAACAGCGCCAAAATTCCAAGCTCTCTGTTGTCTCCAAAGCGTAAATACATTCCCTTTGTTGATTTCTGTCTTGTTTTTCTGCACGAAATGCATTGCCACACATCCTTTCAATATTGTAGTAACCGCATCTGTGCATTTTGTAACCTGTAATTGTAGATATAATTATTTAAATATGCCTACCGACAATGACTGAAAATAGTACTATTCTATTAATATTAGCTTCCACGGTGATGCGGCCGTCAAACCAGGTGTTTCAATCAGAGGGGGGTTATTGTGATTTAATAGCCTCTGATTGACCAATCAAAATCGAGTAAATTCCAAATTCATGGTAGAATAGGTCTTCAGCAACCCATGCTTGCCGTAAAAGGCGACTATGCTTGTCGTAAAAGGCGACTGACGGGATCGGGTGGTCAGGCTCGCTGACTTGGTTGATGCATATCATGGGTCCCAATTGCGTGGATCGATGCTCATGATGTCAATCACCAGTTTGTTTGGTCCAGACTCGATTATTTACAGACTGCCGTGATATAGCTGAAATATTCTACCCCGGAATCTTCACGGGTCCCCCGAGGCATGAACACTCTCATGGCACTAGCAAATTGGGAATATGACTGAATGGGGAAGGCGTTGCCTGTGTTTGGATAATCACAAACAGATTCGGATGATGTGGACTGAACTGGTGGGGAGTGCGACGTTTAACAACAAAGCAACCAAGCAGCCAAACAGCCAAGATACAACGTCTGGTAGTACAAATATTGTTGATCAGTTGGCTATTAGCTTTAAATTATACCAATTTCACTCAATCACATTCTTCAGTGCCCTGTCCAAGTGGATATACAAGGGTCCAGAATCCCAGTCTGTGCTTCAAAGTGAGTGCTTCTGGCGATGAGAAGACCTATCTTGAAGCCATGACAGAGTGCGCCAAAGTCCAGAACGGCCGTCTTGTGGATCTGGACTCTCCTGACAAATATGGCTTCATGTTTGGAGTCATAAGTGCTTCTTCCAAGGGTGTAGGATACAGCAGTAAGTGTGATTTTCTCTTTACCAGTTTCATAAACAGTTGGAATAACAGGCAACTACAAAGACGTTGAAATTCATGTTAGGACACACAACCAAAAGTTCTTGAGCGAAGAGCAGGGTGAGTAAGTTGGGTTTAACGCCGCTTTTAAAATCATTCTAGTTATATCACGGCGTGTCAGCTAAATGTGGGAGGAAGGTCCGATGTGATGCAGGTCTCAGACGTTTACCACTTCGGTGAAACCCACGAGCACGGGTATGGTGCTGACAAACCTAGAAAGATATCAGGACGAACCGGGATTGGAACCCACAATTTTTCTGGCGTGTCTAAAGGACGCAAAACTGCGCAGCGAATCGCCGCGCATTAGACGACTGGGCCGACCGTGCCCCCGGCATGTGGCAGATTTTGGATTAATCATTATAACAACTGATCTTTGATTTTGCGTGAATTACCAAAACAGTTTACGAATATTTGAAATGTACGAATAAACCAAAGATAAGTAATAATTCAAGTTGATATGTTTGGCCGTTATGTGGCTCCCACAAGAAAGATTCGTCTCGTTTCAGAATATAATGACTACAGATTGTGGATTGGTTTGAAGCGTGTAACTACTACTGGCTTCAAATGGAACTCTGGGTCCATGTTTGTCACCAACTGGGCGGAGAAACAGCCGACCTCGTCAACACGGTACAACTGTGGCCTGATGGAGGTTGAGGGGCTTGCTGTCCAACGCTGCGATCGCAAAATCCGATACATATGCGAGGTGCCCATGTAGCAGCATCTTCTCTGTGTCTACAGACTGATGAAGATGCAACACAATGCACAACTGCAGTTATAACACACATGTACTAGAAACTGACAGTTTCAAGTTGTGGAAATTAAACTGAAATATATCAAACTGTTGAACATTCATTGTTGATTTATTATAAATGTTGACAGAACGTTGTGAGTTTAAGTAGTTGGTTTGTTGTTTAACGCCGCATTCAGCAATATTCCAGTTATATGACGGCGGTCTGTAAATAATCGTGTCTGGACCAGACAAGCCAGTCATTCATATCATGAGCATCGATCCACGAAATTGGGATCGATGACTTGCATCAACCAAGTCAGCGAGCCTGACCACCCTATCCTGTTAGTCGCCTCTGACAACAAGCATAGTGGCCTTTTAACGGCAAGCATGGGTTGCTGAAGACCTATTCTACCCCGGATCTTCAGGGTCCACGCAATTGGGATCGGTGACATGCTTAAACCAAGTCAGCGAGCCTGATAAAATGGGTGAGTGAGTATGGTTTTACGCCGCTTTCAGCACTATTTCAGCAACATGATGGTGGAGGACACAAGAAATAGGCCTAACATTTTGTACCTATGTTGGGAATCGAACTTTGGCGAGACGAGCGAATGATTCAACCACAAGGCTATCCCCTGTCTCTAAATACTTAGGAAACATCACACTGTAATTCAAGTCTTTCTGTGAAGAATTCAAAGAGCGTCATCCGACTAGTGCCCAAAAAGGACATCTTCCCGATGCAAGGGAGTTAACTGACCATAAAAGTCCAGTTTCCACCCTTGCCGAACAAGGCTGGGATTCCTTAACTCGATCATAGCGCCACCAGTAGCTATTACGAATTATGTCCCATCTATTCCCCTCCTTTGGACCAATCAAATTCCACCTCTCGTATTACTTGCCTTTGCTTCAAACAAAAATGGCGGCGCCGACTCAAGACGATCTGATCGATAATCAATATCTATATTGTGATAAAGCAGGTCTTACATCACGAAGTGAATCAAATCACATGAGCACCTTTATTAAAAACATGATTTTGAAAATATCTGTTGACAACGAGTTGGCGGTGCATCTTCTTTGTTTAATCCTGCAATCGACCAAAATCTGCAAGACGCTTTACGAACCGGATTTCGATTGCTTTGCGCAATTTTGATTAGACTATGCATGGACTCGTTAGTCCAGCTAAAATGTAACTCCATAATACCAGCCTAGTTCGGCAGGGGTGGAAACTGGACTTTTATAGTCAGTTAACTCCAAAACTGACGCGACAAGAATGATGTGCGATGGAAATTACCATGTTATCGTATTTTTCCGGGTGTACAATTAACTTGTATTTGCAAGTGTGTGTGAAGGTTACCAACGGTTTGGCAGGATACGCTGACCTTTTGGCGAACATCTTGTATCGCCACTTTATAGTAATTCATAAACACATGCTCATGTTACAGTCTGATTCGTAGCATCGACTCTGTGACAGCAACCATGTCACGTGATTATGGAAGCGGTTTTATCGTCCCTATTTGCAGAAAGTATTCTGTGTGTTCAGTTCCATCACACTGCAATCAGGACCCGTGAAGAACCGGGGTAAAAAAGTCTTCAGCAACCCATGCTTGCCGTAAATGGCGACTATGCTTGTTGTCAGAGGTGACCAACGGGATCATGTGGTCAGGCTCGCTGACTTGGTTGATGCATGTAATCGATCCCAATTGCGTGGATCGATGCTCATGATATCAATCACTGGATTGTCTGGTCCAGGCTCGATTATTTACAGACCACCGTCATATAGCTCGACTATTGCTGAGTGCGGCGCTAAACAACAAACCAACCAACAACCAACTCATGATTTCGAGAGATTTGAAAGTGATGTCGTTTTCAGAATATGTGTCCCACCCTCCAAAATATACGGTCACTATTCCCCTGGTTAATTGTATAGTTTGATTGATACCTACCTGGGTGTCCCAACTTTTTTGCATGAGATCCAGTGTATAACTTTTGAAAGTTGGTTTCAAATCACCGTACGGGATAAGTAGTGGAGATAACTGTTTTGTGAAGAAATGCTTTAGCTGCAGCATCGGCATTTGAGTTATACCTGCTATGCCTACATGTTTTGGCAACCAGCAAAAGACGATGTCACATTGGCCCGTAGATAGATCATTGAAAAGTTCTAAAATGTCAGGGATTATGGGATGCTTTGAGGTTACACGTTTAAGTGCCTGATTTGTTTTGTTTGTTTCTTTGTTTGTTTGTTGTTTAACGACGCACTCAGCAATATTCAAGCTATATGACGGCGGTCTAAGTGCCTGAAGGTAGGACAATGAATCTGAAAAGATGCTGACATGATTAAATTGGGTTTGTTGTTAAATATACTAGTATGTCAAAACTGTTGGGATAGCTTTGGCCTCAGCCGTAAAGTTGAACTTGTATCTGGTATTCTTGAGGAGACAGTTCTGGATCCATTGATGGTGGCACTGGCAACTTTGCCACCATCCTTGGACCCGTCTGTAAAAATGGACCTGTGAGAATTATATTTTGTTCACAATTAGTTGTATGCTTGTTGTAAAACTAAAGGATTTGTTTCGGATTTTCAAGGTAGAATGAAGATTTTCTACATCAAGGTAGAATGGAGATTTTCGACATCAAGGTAGAACGGAATTTGAAATTTGATGATCCAAATGTAGAGTATATAAGCTCTGGATTGTCTGGAAAATTAATATGGCTGGAATATTGATGAGGGTGGCGTTAAACAACAAACAAACCAACCGCTTATTTCAATTTTTAAATGTATAAATAAATCAATGTTCAAAATACAGTAGGTTTATCTCCATTCTATCATGTTTGTTTCTAGTTTTGTCAGCACCATGCTAGTATTCGTGGGTTTCACAAAAGTAGTGAACGTCTGAGACCTCGCATCACTTCAGGCTTTCCTCTCACATTAAGGTGACACGCCGTGATGTAAGTGGAATACTATTCAAAGCGGCGTTAAACCCAACTCACTCATTACTTTTGTATACTGTTACGTTTGGTGAAATGGTTTTGTATTGTGATTTCATCGGGTTTAGATTTGAAATATTTTTAGAAGAATATAGCTATGTTCAACCCAAACATCGAGAATATATCATGCAACGTATTATCGTTTAGGAAGATATTTGCAAACTACAGACCAACCTGTTGATTTCCTATGTATCCAGGTTGCTTGGTTTGTTGTTTAACTCCGCACTCAGCAATATTCCAGCTATATGTCGGCGGTCTGTAAATAATCGAGTCTGGACCAGACAATCCAGTGATTAATATCATGAACATCGATCCACGCAATTGGGATCGATTACATGTATCAACCAAGTCAGCGAGCCTGATCATGACCACCCATTCCCGTTAGTCGCCTTTTACGACAAGCATAGTCGCCTTTTACGGCAAGCATGAGTACCCCAGAGTTGAAAATTTATAATAATACCGAGCATTATATTGTATGGTCCAGAATCAATTATTTACAGGCCGCCATTATAAAGCTAGAATATTGCTGAATTATGTATAGAATTAAAATAACAAAATACTATTCTCCGGGTATATCGATGATCTGATATCGTTTAATAACTATCAAATAGCCAATTCCCTTACATTGATTTACCCACCTGTACTAGAAATAAAGAAGACCAGTGACACCGCCTCATCTGTTTCATATTTATATAATTAGAACAATGCATAAAGATTCAGAGTGACCAAACACTCTCCACAAACCTTATGACAAGAGAGATGACTTCAACTTTCACGTCGAACAATATTCCAGAAGCTTCAGCCCTTGGTCTTTACATTTCACAGATTTGAGACCCAATGGAGCATGCTCTTTCTACCAAGATTTCAAAGAGCGTCATACGACTCTTGCTCAGAAGTTGTTTTATCAAGGTTTACATGTAATTCAAGGCCTCAGTTAAGCTTACCAAAGGTTTTTTGGTAGACATGTGGAAGACATTTCCAAATTCGACGCATCAGTGATAAAAGGTGGTGAGGTGAAATTGGGTTTAACGTCGCGTAGCGACGTCCATGCACGGGCGGACGTTCTACCACCAGACCACGGAGGCGGTCACAGTGATAAAATTATGTTCGATGCAATTCCCTATTTTGGTTGTACCATATGTTCCCACGTTTTTCTCAGGCGAACAATTGTCTTGCCTTTGCATGTGTTTGTGACGAGTGCCACTGGTAATGGAGGGTACACTTAGATGTTTCCGAACACCTGGTATCATCACTATTTGATAGCAATTCATAAACACATGCTCATGATATAGTCGGAATAGGATAATTGACTGTGCTTCATGCAGAGATTTCTATTGGAAATGGAAAGGGTGTTGCCGCTTTATTTTCACAATTGAAGAACTTGGATGATGTGGCTTTCGTATTAGAAAATTGAACTCTAGGACGTTCTTGAAATTTGAAATATTTAGGCTAACTTATTTTATTTGAGAATGTTACTGAGGAACTTTAAACAGAAAGTTCCATGTTTCTGTTTATTTGTTTGTTATTTTTAATTCTATACATAATTCAGCAATATTCTGGCATTATAATGGCGACCTGTAAATAATTGAGCCTGGACCATATAAAATAATGCTCTGTAGTATGATCAATTTTCAACTCTGGGGTACGATTGGTTGGTTGCTTTGTTGTTTAACGCCGCATTCAGCAATATTCCAGCTATATGACGGCAGTTTGTAAATAATCGAGTCTGGACCAGACAATCCAGTAATTAATATCATGAGCATCGATCCACGCAATTGGGATCAATGATATGCATCAAACCAAGTCAGCGAGCCTGACCACCCGATCCCGTTAGTCGCCTTTTACGACAAGCGTAGTCACCTTTTACGGCAAGCATGGGTTGCTGAAGACCTATTCTACCCCGGAATTTTCAACACTGGGGTACGATGTGACAAGCAATCAACCAAGTCATCGAGCCCCACCACACGATCCATTCAGTGGCCTCTTACGACAAGCATAGGTTACTGGGGGTCTACTCGGGTGGTGTTCGTTTCCGGAGCGTAACTCAAAAACCGTTAAATACTTTCTTGCAAAACTTTGCATGTTTACCAGGCACATACTGAACTGGTGCCTTTTGATATTTAGCACTTTT